AGGGAGGTTGTCAATAAAATGAATGAGTTCCAGCATTTCAGAAATGCTCTTTTCACCTAGACTGACTGCCTCCAACAGTAAGATATACAAAAATCCAGACTCTCTGGACATGGAAAAAATATCTACAGGGCATATTTTGCATATCACCATAATTTGATGGCCTGTGATTTCTCAAGAAAACAGAAATGTGAGAAACATTTTGACAGTTCAGTCTAATTCCAGAATTCTTTTGACTATGTAGTTGCTACTTGTGAGTGGTGCACATAAAAATAATTTCCCTCAACCTAAAGAAAAAGGGGTTGGGTTTTCGTGGTTTTTTGTTGCTTGTTGTTTGTTTGTTTGTTTGTTTGTTTTGCTATGAAGTGAAATCCCTTTTGCATCACTAAACAATATAAAGCTAAAATTTAGTTTATCCACAGCTCTCTGTAACAGGATCTTTGTGAGTGGGTGTTTAAGTAACAGATGTGGGTTTGATGTGGCATGAATTGAGGATCATTTGGAAAGATTTCTTCCATGATAACTACAACATACTAAGTATTAAAGTACAATTAATGTTGTTGCCCTCCATGTAACAGATATGGTAAGAAAATGTGATCCTATGGACTGTAACAACTACTCTGAGCACAAGAGCAGCATCTTTGCATGTGATGGTCTATCCTAACCCAGAATCACATGGCAATTTTCCTGCCCCAGGGTTCAGACCAGAGTAACTCTGAAAAATTATACAAAGGCAGCTGGACTTCAGAAATCATGAATGAAAAAATAGAAGAATCATTTTCATTATCATTGGGTAGAAGAAAACACACACGCAAGCTATAAAAAATAGAAAACCATGAGGGAAAACAAGTAAAAAGACTGGGTCTTAAAAACTACTTTGCAGATGGAACTTGGTTATTATTCTCACTTGAAATTTCCAGAGCACCAATGAATATTTTCTACTTTCAAACTTCTGCCATCTGACCTGGCAAGACACCTTCACAATAGCAATTTTTGTTACTAATCACTGACTTTCTTTCTGGATAAATTTTTTGAGACCTGAATTTAAGATGCCAATTATTCATGACCTGCATACTTCAATGCCAAAGTGTTCAGCAACAAACTCTAGGGCAGGCTGTTCCAGCTTCTTGACAAGAGGAGATAAGTTTTTACTACTGGTACTTACTTGGGGGCCAGATGGGAAAACCACTTTATAGTGTTATGGAAAGGTGAAAGATAACAAAAAATCAGGACAGAACTGATTTGTGAACAACTCATGGAGAGCTCTAACAGCTTAAGAACGGAGATAAAATTTTGAAAAAATGATGTTTTCTGACATAATTTTCTGGCTTTTTCAAATCAGTAAACAATGGGCTGTGTGGAATAAAATATTAAGGATTATGTGGTTGGTTACTTCTTTCCCCAGTTTGCCTATAAATACGGCTGCCTGCACACAGCAGCTTCATGAGCAGAAGGCTGAGTTTCCAAGATTTTCATCAAAATTTCAAAGAATCTGGAACCTCTCAATTTCTCCAAAATGAACTGCAGTTGTAAGGAGCCTGGTCACATCTCGAGGTTTGCCAGCATACCTCATGGGGACCTTGTGAGAATTCACTAGGTGGGACAGTAGTTCATACAAAAAAGGGTATTCAGCATGGCTCACAGCCCATCCATTTCTATTCCTATAATCAGGAGCAACAGAGCTGAACCTTACAGTCGCTTCTTTACTTGGTACGAGAGGCAGAGCAAAGCATAAGCTAGGGACTGTGAAAGACATGTTGCAGAAGCATCTTCTCTTACCTCCTGCAATATTCTGTTTACAAAGAAACTGCCTCAGAAGCATCTTTTCAACTCCCTCTTCTTTGCATATTTATTAAACTCACATCTTATTTTCAGGGGCACAACAGAAATGCTTGATTTTTTTTACGCCAGAGTCTCATCTCCAGCCTCCACATCGTATACCCTATCATTTTTGAAAGACAGTCTTTTTTTTCCAACCAGTTGGCAGGCAGTTTGAGTCCTGCACTGATTGATAGAAACCTCAGGCAATTTTCCTAGGATTATTCTGTTTCCACTCTGCACTGCCCAGATCTGCCAGGTTTCATTCACCCCACTTACATTTGGGAGTGCTGCCTTACACGTTACCAAATGCAGCTCCACACCAGCCCATGCTATAACACTTGTCTGGATCTCCATCATCTTTTGGGACATACTGCTTGTCCAGACAGATCTGCTTCAGGTGAAATGCTAATACAATTCTTGCCAAAAAGGTATCTCCCTGTTTTTTTCCAAATTAGCAAAAAGGCATAGAAAATATTGATGATTCTTGTCTTCCTGGAATATTCTCATACTCTCTCTAGGAACAAGCAAGGACACCTCTTTGCCATCCCATTTTTACACATGTGCACAAGGGACATCAAGCAAATAATACCAATTTTCAAAATTCTATAGCAATATATTTATACAAATTACAGAATTCTGTATGTATTTACACACCATTACAGAATATGAAGTAAATAACACCAATTATTCTTTCCTTTTCCCCTCAGACTTTTCTCCAAGTCAGTTTTAGTGCTCGAGAAAGGTGCCAGATGGACAGCACTAGAAAGTGAAGACTTCTGTTTGTGCACAGCACAGGAGGAGAGGCACAGCAAGCCTCCCTGCTTTGCCGTGTCAGCTCTCTGCAGCCCTGTTTTAGCAGGATCACAAAAGGAGCAGGAGTGCATCCATACCCCTGCACACCTTGGCAAAAGAGCCGAGCAGCGCCCAGGTGACAATGGTTTTGCCCATCTCTCACCAGAAAACAAACAGAAATAGCTCAATTTACACAAGGGATTGAACAGAATCTGTTGTTCACTACCCGAAACAGGCCAAATTTGGCCCAGTGAACCTGCAGGGAGTGGCAAACTGCCAGCTCCTGCGCCTTCCAGTCTTGCAATAATGCCTAAGTTAAATTACATGTTTCTATATGTACATAAAGTCAGTATTTACACACCATTGTGGGTTATTTGAGTAAATCGGTTACAGTTTATTTAGAAGGACTGCCATAAACTCATAACATTTTTCTCGAGTTTAATCCTTTCTTTAGAAAAATACAAAAAAAAAAAAATTAAATAAAGCATGTTAACTAGTAGTAATGATTAGGCTATGACTAAAAATCCAAGTCAATTTAACATTAAGACTTTAACTGTGGCCTAGTATTGTGGCCTCGACTCAAGAGTCATTTTAACCTTTGCAAATAATTTCCTGGTGTATGCCAGATTTACTGAAACAGCAGGGAGTTGCAACCTCCCTTCCTCATGGTGGGGTTGATCTATTTAACACAGAACACTGAGCCCTAGTCCTGCCCAGAAACACCTTTCCTTCTCCTACGGTCTTTGCGTCACCCACACGAAGGATCCAGCACCCAACTCACCCACTGAACTATCCTCAGTCCCAAAGGGTGGGAGACAAAGGCATGGGCTGCAGCAGAAGGCTGTAAATTCCCAGGCAGTAACAGCCCCTAGACAAGTACCTTAAAAACCAACTAATGTAATTGACAGACCTTTACCATTCCTAAACAATTACAACAGAACACCATGTTATGTTTAAGGTTACCGATATCGCCGGTTGAGACATGGCTCCTCCTACCTGCTTCAGCATGGAAAGGGAAGGTTTGTTCAGGACACCAAGCCAGAGGCCATTCCAGAACAGAAATAAGTTTTGAATTATATAAATCAGGTGAACAAGAGTGCTTTAGAGCAAAAATTTCTTAATTACAAGTAGGCTACAACTTTTTACATCACTTCTCCAACGGAGCCCCTGTGCGCATGCAGACAGCCAGGGTGTCAGGACCAGCCCTGCTCCCAACATATCCAATGGTGAGGGCTACACTCAGCTTAATGGCACTGGGTTCAAATCCTAAGGGATAAAACAACTACAGAATGCATTTGTCATATGGATCTTAGCATGGTTTTTGTCTTTTTTTTTCCCTTTTCTTCAGAGTACTAGGGGAAAAAAAGCCTCTTCCTGAGGGTCACTTTCCAAATGGTAACTGCTAATCAATGTGTTTGTGTGCTTATCATAAAATGCTACATACCCTTAAATATTACGTACTGTTTCCTCGCTTTGGGTTTATGAATATTTGAACATACTTTAGGAAAAACAATAAAAATAAGTCTAATACTGTCCCCCTCATTGTCATTATTGATAGAGATTTATTAGTTTCATTTTGCAAGTTTTACTTTAGGAAGGGTGCTAATATCATGTATTATGACAGTTCACACTGAAAGCAATTTTCCATAAAAGGTATTACAATGACCCCTATGGAACTTGTATAATTTCATAGTAGATAGTCGAGTGCACAAATAAACATGTTTACAAGAGTGATCCTGTTAACCTGGTTCTTGCCCTCTGAAATATTTATGTGTTCTTTGTGGAATCTTAAAATTAGTATAATTGTTGTTGGTATTACTTATGTTGTTTCTGGCATTCTCTTTAGGAAAAAAAAAAATAGCATATTTATCATTTAGCTTTGGTATAATCTGCAATAGGTTTTAACAAGTAGAATATATTCCAACCCCTATATTTTCCACAGCTGTGAAATTTACAATGATGTAAGAAGTCACTTTATCAGAGAGGAAATATTACAGACACATAAAAAAAAGTTGAAGACCCAGTTTTCTCTTTAATCCTCTGGGGTAAGCTATGAAACAAGCAGTCAGAAGAGTGAGGACTCAGTGTCATGAGTGGTGTGCATACTTGTACAATAATACGGGCACAAAAGAGATTGTCGTCTTTAGTACATGAGGGTCACTAGAATTTATTATTATTACCTTTTTATTGTTGGCTTTTTTTTTTTTTTATCCATGCACCTTTATATTTACTTGCATGAATTTACCACAGGTTCATAGTGGCCTTTGCCATTTCAATGCTTACAGAGCCTAAAGCTTCCAAAATGCCTATCTGGCCTGTACATATTTCATTAAAAATAAACTCTATATAATAAATAAATATATAAAATAAATAAAATGTTGCCTTTGGAATTTCTATAAATAAATTTAACTTTTTATTTTTTTATTTTTTTTTTTTACTAAGAGGTCTTTGCTTTAAACTCAGTGGGGTGAGACCCAGAGAGCGATTAACTGAAAAGTCTCTTGTTTAAGTAAGACTGCACCCTCCATGCCTTTGTAAATGCAGCGTACACTTGAGCAGGCCACCAGCCAAAAATCCTGATGAATCGAAGTATGGCAGCTATGCTGATATATGACGAAGTACAACTGATCAAAAATTTAAAAGCGTGTCTATTCCCCAGCATGCATCAGGCCTTCCTCCTCCTCCTCCTCCTCCCCCTCCTCCTCCTCCCCTCGGCTCCTCTCTCTCGCGCTCTCACTCCCATTCATCCTCTCCCTTTCTCTCTCTCTCTCACTCACTCTCTCGCGCTCCCTCTCGTACTAAATCAAGCGAGTGGGCATAGGCTCTCCTCCAGGAGGACAAACCTTTAAGTGCAGAACAAAATCAGCATGTTCCATCCAAGCCTCCATCATACATTATGCATGCGACAAAGTTTGGCAACAGTGGAGCTGATGTGATGACACAGCTAATCAATAAGAACCCACCGCATGAAACCTTTATAGTGGTTACTTTTTAAGGGCTCAAGTGAAGGAATTGTCTTTGTCAACTTTGGCTTAAAATATCCTTATATAGTTCTGGTACTTTCTCAGGGTCCACTGGTCTAGGTAAAAAATGTGTAAATTTTTGATGCCGTTTAGTCCTAGTCCCTTCTCTTGGAGTCCCATCTTTATTTAACGCAACGTAGTATCGTCTTCCAGTGTCCACATGTTTATATAGATTTGATGAATATGTGTTATACCAGTTTTCTTCAAATTGCTCTCTGAATACACACTCCTGGGTTAATTTTTCCTGTGGAAAGAAAAGAAAGAGAAGTAAGGAGACAGCCACTAAAATAAGCTACCTGTTAAAGAATTAATATTTTAATGGCTTGAATCTGGTATCTCCTCGCTAAACTGCAGAATAAACTATTTCAATACTCCCAGTTTTAGCTATGTAAAGCTGCATTTCTGGGTGTTTCAGGAGGTAGTCAGAAGGGTGGAAAACCCTGTGTGAAGCAAAAATGAATCTCAAAGCCTCATTGCCCAAATCAGTACAGCAACAACAAAGACAAAAACAGATACTTTTTATTTCTGATAGTTCCCAAGCAGCTCACAAGACCTTACTGGACTTCTATAACTAATAGTTTCAATGGTGGCTGCAGGCACTCAAACAAACAGATATAAATAAAGGAAACTAGAACCAGTCTGCAGGGCTATAATAAAATTCACAGTCTTAAAATCTCTGTGTCGTTTGAATGCATGGAGGACTTGATGCATTTCATTAATTTAAAAACATGCAATTTGCTACCCTTCATTTGATTTACTATTTGTATCATGAAGCCATAACCCAATAGAGCTTCAAAGAGGAACATGAGCCCTGTGTGCTGAGATGAAGCAGGCAAGGAGAAGCCCTCCAGCTTTGCATTATCAGGGTTGTCCTTGTGTCCCATCCTACTGAGGACAGGACCCACTGAGGATATCAACCACTCATCAGGTGCCCCTGCTACTACAGAATCCCACTCCTTCCAGCTGATCCCCTTCTTCAGTCTGTGTGTTGCCTTCTACATCTTTATGATTGCTTAAAATTGCTTTTAAAAAATCGCTTAATAGAGTGCCTAAAACACAGACATCTGATAGCCAGATTCATTTCAGGAAGGACTCCCACAAATCACTGAACAAGAACACTGGGAAAAAAGGGTGGTGAGCTGTAGCATGGGAGAACTGATGGGTAGCTAGGGAAAATAAGCCTGAAAATAGTCTTTTCACCAGGCACAAGAAAAAAAAATAATGACAATTCAATGTATTTATTCGTAACAAATTCTCATTTCAATAGCACTCACATCAACCACACCCAGCTTTCAACTGAGAATCAGTTTCTGATCGTTACAAAGCTCCATACAATGCATGTGTTTTACAGACATTAAATCTTAAAACAATTTTTTTAGATAGGAGCACAGAGAAGGAAAAACAGAGGCCAAGGCCCAGATGCATCAAAGTATGTATGGCACCTAAGCCATAAACTTGAGCCACAGCACGAGCAGCCCTAAGAAACCACCTTCCATGACTTAACCCAGGAGATTCCCAAGGTCTACCATCACCAAAGACCGTAGCTTCCCTGAAGTTGCAGGTGCCTTTGGGGCCACCTCTGCTGCTTGAATCAGCTCACAACCCTTTCCCAAACCAATGTGCTTCAGCCCAGATGTTTCATTGCTGCTTTGTGTGGCAAGCACTCTGCTCCCAGGGCAGCCCACTGGGGCTGGGGACAAGCCAGCTCCAAGGAGCCCTACATACCTTACAGAAGCCACCCAGGCACTATCCCATGTGGGGGAAACAAACCCCATGTAAATGGGGAAAGGAAGCCAACACCCCTCTGCACCTGTACAAACTGGGTGTTGAGCTGCAAGGACAGAGTCCTTCTCAGGCCCTCCCAAACACCTAAAGGTTTGGGATTTGGAGGGATCTTCTAAATTAAATTAGTGGCAACTCCAGTAGGCAAGAAAGGCAGCAAGTAAGCTGCTCCTGACTTCCCCTTTAATGGGCACTGGGTACCTCATTACCACTCAGGAAGGAGAAATCCCAGACAGGACCCGGTTTCACATGTTCAACACCTGAAAATTCACTATGGCAGTGACTGTATCCCTTTGTGGATGTGACAGCTTTTTTTTAGAGTAATTTCTGACTATGACATTTTTAGTTCAAAGTAGTTCAAACACAGCAGTAGTCTATACTGGTTATAGGCAAAAGAAGCACAAATCTGTTCACATTAAATCCTTATCTGTGGGCCATTCCCTGCAACCTCCTACTGACAATTGCCTCTGTGTCCTTTGCCAGCTTGAAACCGCAGCCGCATTGAACATCACCGGACCAGCAGCAGCTGCCAGTTACACCCATTGCAGTATTCCCCTTGTGCAGCCTCAAAAGTGCAAACTATTGTAAAGGGTATTCAGCTGCAGAGAAGATTATCTTTAAGTACAGATTTCATTAGTGTTTTATTTTGCATGAGGTTTTAAAATCATCTGTGTTTGTTTTAAAGCAGAATCAGATGCTAAGTGGTATTATATACTGGGCTTATATAAGTCCATGGGGAAAGAGAAACTAATTCAAATTGTTTTCCTGCTCTCAGAAGGCAATAGGATCACATGACAAGCACTGCAGAAGAACTCCCTGCTAAAAATAGCAGCATTTTAGGAAGATATTTCAGTCCTGTCGTGAATTCATTAATTATTCACTTCATCTGCATTTTTTTTTAGCATCATCATAAATTTCTATCTTTGCAGGAACAGTACTTCCCCATGCCCTGAAGGAGAAACTTTAAAATAGCCTCCCTTTATCTGGCAGGTTTGATGGATCATGACAGTGCTGTGGTACACGTAACTAGCAGACCCTGAATCAGGGGGTTTACACTGTACTGCACTATGGATAAGTTAAATGGATTTCAAGCTCACAAATTCAATCTTCATTTTACAAGCTTATCCTATTTTAACTTTCTATTCACTTACAGCACAGCTACATCTCTTTCATCCTTCTTCAAAATTCTCAGAAATTCATGTACAAAGATGAGGCAAATACTTCAACATGAACATGACAGAGCAATCAGGATGTAGTATCAGGTAGGGACATTAACAATCACCCTTTAACAGAAATTAAATAGTTTCTTTATATAGTCAAGCCTTTTCCTTCTAGGAGACATAGAAATTCTGATTGTGGTCAGACACCATTGGAGGAAATCAGTGCTGGTGACTTTGGATCAGATCCTGTAAGTAATGCAGGACACTAAAATCCCATAATATCCTTCTCCCCATGCCCTGGAGACTCTTACTATAATGTTTCATCTAGTACCAAGAGAGACAGAAATCAACATCCATCAGGATAGTCATTTATGTAGAATCACAGAATCCTTTGGGTTGGAAAGGCCCTTTAAGATCACTGAGTCCAACCATTAACCAGCACTGCCGAGCCTACCCCTAAACCATGTACCACCACAGCCCTCCATGCTGTTAATCCTTATGCTCACACTTTAAGTATGCATGTCATTATTCCAGCCAGAAACGAGCATAACACAGAGGTGAGGCTGGTCCATCGTGCCAACAACACCCTTTTGTCTCGTCTTAGGAAAGTCTTGTTGAAAACCAGCTCTCCCAGTACGGAAAGGCTATGGTGTTTCCTGATCACATTTCTCCTTCTGGCTATGACTTTCAGAAAGTACTTCTATGCACATTTGAAGAGCAAGATTTAGCCCTACAATACAGCAATTTTTGCATACTTTTATTCCTGCAACTCTCACTTTTCCAGTGCAAATATTTCCTTGCACCATACTTAAAGTTGCTGGACATCTTTGTCGAAAGCTGACACAAATACCAAACATACCCAACTGGAACAGCTATGGAAAGTAACCTGCATTCCTGTGAAAGGGGAGGCTGCCTGCTTTGCTCAAATCATTTAATTCAGGGCCAAATAAGGAGGTGACCTCAAAATTATATAAATCAGATGTTGCACCACATTCCACATGTTTTCACAGTGAAGACTGTTCATATTCAACTACAAAGTGATTGATTTTCATTTTGCAACATTTCCACGCTTCACCTGTTTGGTTTTTTAATCTGTTATTTAACTCAGAATGTTCAAATAATTGAATTGTACAAAGATGCACATATCTCAAAGACAAACCCTGAGAAAGATTTAATTCAGAAGTCCAAACAACTATTAACAAGAAATATATCTGATGTAGCCAACACTTCCTATATACCTGCTGCACACTAACACCTTGTTAATCCACCCCATTTTAACAAAAGTCACGTTCATATATATAATCTCCTGAGTAATTTCATGCAAATCCCTCATTATGGCTACGTGGCATTACTAAAAACTGCATATGTAGTGAAGGGAAGCAAAGAAAAGCCCTATTCTCCTCCAAAGCAGATTGCTTTGCTGTTCTGCCTACCAACACACACATTTTGCATGCCATTGGCCCTTCCCATGCTGTAATGCAAACAGCCTCTAGAACATACTATGTTCAGCTAATAATTAACACTCATCCAGAGCTGACATAAATAAAGGTCTAGTTTAGCATTTGCTGTGGTATTTTCTGTACTCTCATGCTAAGCCTGATAGTTTCTGGCCGGCTGAACCACCTCCAGCCACAATGAGAAGCCAAATACCGGTGTCCAAGCAGCACCACTTTCTTTTCCAAATTAGACCACAGTGTGAGTCAAGCCCTGCACGCTGTGTGTCTGACTTGGTGAGTGTCACAGAGCTTTCTTTGATGAGTTTTTCCAAGCAGCCTCTTTTCAGAATGCTTTTTTTAATAATTTGACAAAACATGAAAAAAATGGGGGGAATAAAAGTCTGCCAAGAAGACTAGCTGCTTGGTTTTTTGTGTTTGTGTCAGTAGTTGTCCAAAAGCCTTTTAGATGGAGAGCAGGAAACCATTCAGGGCCAGAGGAGAGACAAGCAAACAGCCAGACACCAATGCTGCCACACACACATTTCATATTCCGTGGCACGTTAAATAAGATGAGGGAAATCAGTCAAGGTGTCCTTGGCAAAACCACAGTTAGACAACTGCATTCTCCCTACCTGAGATCACCTTGTACTCTCACAGAGTACATCCAGTATCCATCTTACTTTCTTGACCATAAACCTCTTAGTTAATTTGTATTAAGTTTTTATTATACATCAATTTCCACCTGCAAAATAAAAATCACGTGTGACTGCTCTGTGCTGCTGCCATGCAGCAGTTATGATGGTGCTTAAAGATTAGCATTTTTCATACAAAAAGCTTGTAAAGATCCCAAGACCCAGAAGAACTTG